TAACTAAAAAATAAGAATTAATTTTACTTATTTAAATTAAATCTTACCAAAATAAAAATAATAATTTTATCCGTTTAATTATTTTAAATCTAAATTGATTTTTTATTTAAAATTTAAAAATTTTGTATAATTAAATAACTTTTGAAATATATTTTTTGATAAAGAGTCTAAAATTAAAAAATATCTTATGTATCATTATAAAGTGAAATTTTAACAATTTTTTTATTTGTAAAAAAAAAAACAGTTCACGTAAACATTCACATCAATAAATTTTATCTAGTAATCATATATGTTATAATAATATATATATATATATTAGATTTAATTTAATTTCTTTTATAGTAAAAACTTTTTAGTGTCTTAAGTTCTTCACCTTTTTCTAATATATAAATAAAAATGTCCCAAGAGTACGCATTAATGCAATGACTATTTCTTGTTGTTACTACATTTGTATATAAAAGAGGAATATGGACAGATAAGAGATTGGCTGCATAGTAAGGCATGGCAAATCAGAGTCCTTTTTTTTCTTCTGTTTGCTTGGGCTGGCAGCCGGACTTTTGGCCGCCAGTACAATGGTGCAAAAGCAAAAGAAAAAGCAAAGCACTACTCGCATCCATATAACCGAAGCAGTTTTCCAGCTGGTCTCATATTCGGCACTGGATCATCTGCTTACTAGGTAGGTATTCTTGGTATAATAGGTCTGAGACTTAAGCTTTAATTCATACGATTTTAAGATTTGGATATACATTTATTCGACGTTTCAGATTAATTTTTTTATTATGATTTATATTTTTATGAGATAATATCCGTTCTGGTCCGTTTGATCTCACAGTTTTATTCTATAAAAAATGTCTCATAAGGAAGAGATGGTGTGAATAATTTTTTTATATTCGATGTGAAATTCAAGACTCTTTTTTAAGTCCATGATATTTATCTCTATCCAATCTCGTGACGCTTTCGTCACGGAGGATGGTCACCCTGTCGCCCTCCCTCAAGGAGTTTGGCGTGGATTGAACAGTTTATGATTGACTTTTATACCACTTGTCATGGGTTGAGACTTAAGCTTCAACCCGCGCAGCTCTAAGATCAGGGCATGCACTCATTCGGTGTTTCATATCAGTTTTTCCACAACGGTTCACACTCTCATGAGATATTATCCGTTTTAACTCTCTGAAACTCACAGTTTTATCTTATAAAAAATAGTGTGAATTATTTTATACCTCAATAACTCTTTTTTTATATTCGACGTTAGATTTAAAATTTTTTTTTAAGTCTGTGATACTAACATGTATACAAAAGCAGAAAAATGAGAGGTAAGTAAGTAATTTCACTGCAGATTGAAGGAGCTCGAGGATGGAAAAGGACCAAGTATATGGGACACTTAACGCTAGAAAATATCCAGGTCTCTCCCCCTTTATACTTCTAGCCATATATGCCTTGCCTACAAATCTTTTCTTTTTCAATTTTTTTTTTTGAAAACATACAAATATTTTCTTTCAACAAGAACGACTTTCTCAATATAAATATGCTTTTATATCAACGATTAATTATCCATCATAATTAATTAATTAAAACGTTTTTTTCTTTGAAGAAATTATGTTGAAATAAATAATTATGATTTTTGAAAAATTTAATGTTGGCATATGACAGAAAAAATTGTTGGTCGAAGTACGGGAGATGTAGCTGTTGATTTTTATCATCGTTACAAGGTTTGTCCTATAGTATAGTTTGCGAAGTATTTTTATATTTTCTTTATGTTTCATAAAATATTTTTGGTCATTAAAAACATAATTGCCTCACAAATATTTAATGCTACAGAGGATATAAAGCTGATGAAAAAAATTGGTTTGGATTCCTTCAGATTCTCGATTTCATGGTCTCGAATTTTACCCAGTAAGATCATTTCTGGAAAAAAAAAATGCTCAACTTTTGATCATCAGCACCTTAGATTTGACATTGAAATTTATGCTCTGTATTTTCAGAGGGGAAACTTGTTGGTGGAGTAAACCCAGTAGGGGTCCAATTTTACGACAACCTCATTGATGAGCTCCTTGCCAATGGTCCAATTCCAATCTCAAACCTTTCCTTTCTTGCTTTGCGAAAATATAACTGTCTCTGCTTTAACTTTCTCAATTATGAGCAGGTTTAAAGCCCTTTGAGACTTTAATCCATTGAAGATGACTATGGCAGATTTTTAGGTCCCAAAATCGTGTAAGTTATTTTTTCACTTTCCCAAATAAAATGTACTGTCTTACTCAACATGAAAAGTTTTTTTTTCCTTAACAGCGATGACTATGTTGATTATGCGGATTTTTGCTTTCAAACGTTTGGTGACCGAGTGAAGTACTGGGTGACTATGAATGAACCAAATGGGTGGAGCATGGGCGGTGCCAATGGCTCTGCTTCCACTTCTCCAACCGAGCCTTATATCTTGGCCCATCACTTGCTTCTTTCCCATGTAGCTGCTGTCGAACTCTACAGGGAGATGTACCAGGTTTGTTTAGATTTCAAACAACGAAGAAAACTGTTACGCAGCAGCAATCAATAAATTAAACACAAACAGAATCCTAATTCTGATAGAATGTGCACCGTGCAGGCATCTCAAAAGGGAAAAATTGGAATTACCATAATAACTAATTGGTTCATACCAAAATTTGATACAACTGCTGACCGCCAGGCAGCTTTCAGAGCTCTAGATTTCCTTTTCGGATGGTGAGTGGAGAAATTTGAGAAACAGTTTACCCGCATTGCTAGATTTCATTTCCCTTGTAATATTGCTTGCTTTGTGGAAATTCTTGATTTTGGTTATTAATATTTTATTTTTATAAATTTTTTAAAATTGTTAAAATTAAAGATAAATTAAAATAAATAAAAAGATTGTTTTAATGAAAGTTATTTATGAAATAATTATTCATAAAATAATTCTTTTTTAAAATAACTATTCACATAATGACTTTTTCACATTCACGTAATAACTTTTTCACAGAACAATTATTCAAAAAATAGCACCTTTATGAAATAATACTTTTATGGAACAACAGTTATCGAAACAACTTCCTCAAGATACAAGAAATAATATCAATACTTTTACTTAAAAGTTCTTTCACAAAAAATTGTTTCATTAATATTTATTCCATAAAAAATGCTTCACCTAATGTTATTTTATCTAATGAAAGAAGCGAAAATACCTTTGAAATATGTTAGGGTTTTTGGGTTAATTTTACAATTAGAATGTTATGGAGAGGTTAATTTGGTGAATCAAATATAAATAATTAAGAACTCTTAACTATTTCCTAAAATTTAAGTGCTTTTCTTCAAAACAGATAGTGAATTTTTATATTTATTATACCTATCACCGAAAACTAGTTAGATGCTCATTAACTAATATATTAATACTTTTTGTAACAATCAATGCTCCCATTATTCACATTTAACACCTCTTATTACTGTAAATTTTCCTATTATTACTATTTAATACTTAAAATATGTAATTTCTATTCTTGAAACTTCTAAATAAGAGTTTTCACAATTCATTGGAAGATTTTTGGACTTTGACAGTTTTCTCGTAACTTTCTCTCAAACTCTCTCCGCAATTATCTTTTCCTCAATTCTTCTCTCAGCCTCATTCTTTTCCTACTCAGCCTCATTTTATCACCTATCACCGTCTGCTTCTGCACTCAATACGTCAAGGTCTAATCTAATCTTTCTCTCTACTATTTCTCAGCACATCCTGTTTTACATGTTTACAACGCTTACTCACCTCACCAAAGAACCTTTCTACACTTTGAACATTTCTTTTTCGGCAAAATGTATGCAGGTTTGTGGATCCAGTAATATTTGGCGAGTATCCAAAGAGCATGCGATCATTGGTAGGGAGTAGACTGCCCAAATTCACGGAAGCCGACTCCAAAATGTTAGAAGGATCAATCGATTTTCTTGATGTAAATTACTACACTGCAAATTATGCGGAAAATGCTTCTCTATCAAACACTACCAAGTACCAACGTTGCCACTGGTAACAGAGCAAATCTCACAAGTAGGCTAAAAGACTTTAATCCAGCTTATTAACTCATTGTCTTTTAATGGAAAACTTCCAGTACGGCCATTAACATACATGTGGTTCTTGCAGCTGAAAAGAATGGAGTACCAATCGGCGCACCGGTAATTGATTATCTTCTCTCTCGTAATACATATTTCTACTGTTTTATCAGTCTTATGAAGCAACTATTGGCGTCAATAATGTTGCAGACTGTTGTGAGCTCTCTTTTCATCTATCCAAAGGGCTTGAGAGAGCTAATGCTATACATAAAGGAGAAATACAACAATCCACCCATTTGCACAACAGAGAACGGTCAGCCACATAGCCAGAGTCCTCAGTCTTTAGTTAAATGTTGTTAATTTTTCATGCATTTGAAACTAAAACTTGCATTTTTTTTTTTTTTTTTGCAGGGGTGGCTGAAGCAAATAAAGCTTCATTGACAGTAAAAGAAACTCTGAAGGATAACACCAGGATTAGATACCTTGATGGCCACTTAAAAGCCCTTTTAAAAGCAATCCAGTGAGTGCTTAGAGAAAATGTTGCTCAATTCATAAATCAAGTTTAGATTTATATAATTCGATAGACTATGAAGCCAAAAAAAAAAAAAAAGAAATTTTTATTTCCTTTTTTTTTTTTTTGGCAGGGAGGGCGTTAACATTAAGGGTTATTACATGTGGGCGTTGATGGATGACTTCTAATGGACTTCTGGATCCATCCTTAGGTTTGGGTTCTCAAACATTGATTTCATCAACAATTTGAGGAGATAACCTTAAATATTCAGCATACTGGTTCAGGATGTTCCTCCTCAATTAACCTCTGCCTGCCACCTATCGGAATTTATCTCCGGACTTGTTTGGTTGGGTATCTTAATATCTTTAATTTGATCTGTAGCTGTTTGAAGAATAAAAATAATGCCACATGGATCTAAACACAAAACTTGAATTGCAGAAAAACAAAAATACTCATTAAAGTAAAAAAAGAATTACAAACAATATATTAATGTATAAAACAATAAGGTACAATATTTCGGGGTGGCCTCCAAGCTGAGCAGAACCTCATACAAAGACCAATGAATCACTCATTAACAGTTTGAACAGTGCAATTCACCAAAAGATCTCACTCAAGCAAAAATACATGTTGGCAACTCACTTCCTCACAATTCTTGTTCTAACACCCCCTGAAATTCACATAAATAATCATATGTTTCAGTGACACATAAAACCAGTATAACACAGGTGTAAAGTGCATTATGTCCCATACCTTCAACTTCCTCAAACTGAACTTCCTTAATGAGATCAGCAGAAGCATTATATTCAAACCTAACAAACAACAAAGAAGATTAATAGAAACAAAGATTAAATAAAGAAAAACCAACAATGTTTAATAAAGCCAGGGAAAAGTTATCATCAATGCAAGATTAAAAGATACAATTGTAAGAAAAGAAAATCTCCTTCTTAGCAGTTAGCAACTAAACTAACATTAAGTTGGATATTATCCTCCAATGAGAAGCCTGAAGCCACAGAGGTTTAGGTCAAGCCATCCTAGAAATGCCATCTATAAGCAAAAATATAGCAGATATCTACTGATTTCTATCAAGGCTCTTCAACCAAACTTATATCTTATAGAGCCAAAAACCCCTTCTTCGTTAGTAAAGCAGGCTTCTCTCTCTGCCCCTTTGCTTCCAAGGCAGATATGCTATATCTTCTCTATTTCCTTTTCAACAAGAAAGCCAATTCTTGTTGGTGCATGATCCCCTCATCAATCAATGTCAGGTATTTTCAACAGAATATATATAATACATACATGAAACCTTTGTAGATAGAAATGCACATATGCAAGAAAAGAATGAAATAGCCAATAAAAGACCCCAAGTACCAAGCCTTAATCGACCAATTACACTAGAATAAGAAGGGGTTTGCATAATGCTAATAACTTTAACCACATTATTTAAGATTGTTAGTAAAATCTGATTGAAAAAGAAAGCCTACTAGTGTTTAATCAAAGCAATGAAACAGTCCCAAACAAAGGCAACTTGAATAAATATCTATTACCTATTGGAAAAAACGACCTCAAGTTCATATTCAGAAGCACTCTTGGTAGCTTCAACCAAGACAGTAACAATTTCAGTTTTGCGAGTACTAGCCATAAGTAAATCGTACTCCGTTGGAATGATAATGGCGAAGAAATTATCGCTTAATTCACTCAAACACATCTTATCTACGGCTGCTAAAGCTATCCGGCGTTTAAGCACATCGGTGTCAGGATCAACAATGTAAATTGCAAAATCAGTAATCATAAGAATCCGCCGTTTCATCTTCCCTGATGAAGTGAACTTCAAAATTTTATCAGCAAATAAAACTTGCTTATCACCTGCAGGTTTCATTGGCATAATAATCCCTATTCAGAAAATCCGAATTATCATTGCCTAAAATTACCAAAAAACAATATTTTTTACCGAAATTTTCATTTCATGTGAACTACAGACAGTGCCGCAAAAAAAAAAAAGGCCAAATTTTTTATTTAAATCGTTGCGATAAAATTTAACCAAAGGGTCGGAAGGGGTAACCTTGTTTTCGCAAGATCTTCATTAAGAAAGGGCGGGAAGGGACATCCAAGTAGTCTCCTTTGTATTCTCGACGGAGGGAGGCTTTTCGTCTGACTTTGATTCCCATGAACGGCTCCTGATCTTCCGTCACATTACTATCAGACGGTCGCAATCGCATCCATTTTTCTTCTTGTTGTTCTTCTTCTTGTACATCGCCTTCGTACTTGGGGGTCTCCGATTCGTCGATTTGGACTCGCTGTTGTGCCTTGTATGGGTTCATTTGTCGATCGGGGCGAGTAGGAACCGGAGAGCGTTGTATGGCCTTTAGGAAATTGAAAGTGTCAAAAGACAGAGAAGGATGGTGCTGGAGGGTAACTTCGTTCAGGTGTGCTTGTTACAGAATCTGCATCATGCGCCCATGGACCCCGCCCTTGATTTGAATCCGGCCGAGAGTTAAAACTCGACAAATCGTGTAGTCATATCGTGTCTCATATCTTGTTTGACACGTGTTTTAACAAATTATTAATACTTAAATATAATATAAATTATAAAATATATTTAAATTTTAAATATTAATATGATATTTTAATATATATTGCATATAACACGATTAACATATGTATAATTAATTTATTTACATACTACATGACTATATATGACTAATGTTGATATATATGATTAAACAAGACTAATAAGACTAAATTAATTAAACAACTATCCATTTACAAGTTAAAATTAACCAAACAAAATTAAATACTAAATAACTAAAGGCATTTAAAAATAGCTCTTTACACATTTACATAATGCAAATTTCATTGCTCCTCCGACCTTTATAAGTGATGTTTTAACAAAGGCATTAAACATCAGCTTACATAAAAAATATTAATGTCTTCAAATCATTTCATATTCTATTGTCATAATATATCAATTCGAACACTTGATTGTTAGACGTAAAAATTAAAGAGTCACAATCAATTTTTTTATTGAAGTACAATTGGTTACCAATTTTATTTTTTGTCTACGATTTTAAGATTGAGTTCGAAAGTACGATTACGTGTAAATAATATTATAACACTTTTACAATGTTCGTCAAAAAATGATATCAATTAATCTTATATGATTCTAAATTAATCTCGTTCAATTAGGTTTTAACTTATTACTTTATCATTTTTATTTTTTATATTATTATTTGAATATTGAAAATTTTTTAAGTTATTCATGACACTTTCAGTATAACTTAAAAAATTTTTCTCACCTTAAGAATATTAAAAGAAATAACTTATTTCAATAAAGGGTTTTCGTCTTTGGATTTATTTTAATACTTTGAAAGTATATTATAATTTCATTTTACCGACACTTATGATATGATTTTAAAAAATTTGGAGGAAAATTACCACCTGCGATTCCTTCTTAATTGACAAAAATTTTAATATACTCTGTAATATTTTTTTATTGTTTATTTTATTATTGAGGTATAAAATTTTATTGGTTAAATTTTCAAAATATTTCCAACATTTTCGGACTATTTTGAGAAAATACTTGCCTAAGAAATTTTGATAAAGTAAAAAATCATAATTTTTATTCCTGTAAATTTTATTTATTTTGACAATTTAAATATGTTACATTTTATTAATTTTTATTAAAAAGATTTTAAAAAATCTTACAAATACTTTTGGCAAAAATTTGAAAAATATTTTTTTTAGGAATCACCACTTGTGATTTTATTACTATATTTATTATTTTTTTCTTTATGTATTTATTTAATTTTTCTATTTATTCATAATGAATAATAATAATAATAATAATAATAATATTATTATTATTATTATTATTATTATTATTATAAAAATTTTAAAATATTTTCAACACTTTTGGAATATTCTGAGAAAATTGCTTTATATGAAAAATCACTAATTTTATTTTTTTATTAATAATGTTATTTTTTTACTTTGAAAATTTCTAAAATCTTTTCAATACTTTTAGAATATTTTAAAAGATTTCTATGTGTAAATATGTTTAATAAAATCACCACTTATGATTTTATTGTTATTTTATCATTTTATTTATTTTTTTCTTTTATATATATATTATTCTTGTTCATTAATGTTTTTATTTTCATTATTTCATTTTATTTTTAAATTATTTAAAATTTCAAATTATCCTAAGCTTATTTTTTTAGCAATTTTTACTAAATCACAACTAAAAGTTATTTTATCTTACCTAAGTTTTTTTCTAACATTTATTTTATTCCTACTCCGAGAGTTTATATAAAAATAAAATAAAAATATCACAAAAATAAAAAAAATAATAAAACTATATAAAAAATTGAGAACGAAAATGAAAAAAATAAAAAAATTATGCAAAAATACCAAAAATACCCCTAATCAAAATGGTCAACAGTGGCTTAGCTCAATAAGCGGCTTAAAATTTGCTTGTGAGAAGGAATGGCTAGGATCGATTCAGGAACGGAATGACTCGGCTTGGCTCAGCTTCGCCTAAGCTGTTCAAGACTTGATAAAACGGGTCGGGTTTGGCACGTTTTGAGTTGAACTTCAGATAAACACATGGATCTCCTAGCAAAAATAGTGTCATTTTATTAGGCTATAAATAGCACAAATCTATGGTTTTTTTTTTTTTCATTTTTCTCTCTATCTCTTTCTTCCCTTAGATCCTTTCTCTTTCTCTCTTTGAGTTATTGGTGTAGACACCCAATTGGGTCCGGGCCCAGATCAATTGGGCCTGACCCAAACGGGTAAGGCCCAATTCAATCCTGTATTTTTTTTTCTTTTTCTTCTTTTGTATTTTATGTATTTTATTATTATTATTATTATGTATATATTTATTTATTTTTTTTTTAGATTAGATTTATATGTATATAGTTATATATTTATTATTATTATTATTATTATTATTATTATTTTTTTTTTTGTAATATATACTTGGGTTTATCTTATTTTATTATTATTATTATTATTATTATTATTTTTAATTATCTGTTCTGATTTTTCCTGATTATCAGATATATTTTTTTTTAAATATCTTTTGATTTATCTGATTATTATCTAGTATTTTTTATTTTTGATTTTGGAGGGCTAAGATTGAAGCTGAAGAATCCTACCGGGAATGGGAATTCAATCAAGAGAGTCCAATTGGATTCAAAGACTGAATTCCCGTCCAAGGAGGAATTGGGATTGATCAGAAACTCCTGATCAATCCCTATATAAAGCACCTCCTAGAACAGTTCAAGAACACACAGAAAACAGTAAGCAAAGCTACTGATTTGAGAGAAAAGGAGGCGTATAGGAAGCTAGGAAAAGTTTAGGAGTGGTCTGGGAGTGAGAAAAAATTTCTAGAAATTTTTGGCGAAAAAATTTTCTGGAAATTTCTGGGAAATTTCCAGATTTCGGCAAAAAATTCCGGCGAAGTTTGAATTTTCCGGCGATAGTTCCGGCCAAACTTGAAGTTTCCGGCAACAATCCCAGTTTCCGGCGAAGAATCCCAGAAACCGGTGATCTTTCGGCAACTTCCGGCGAACTTCCGGCGAAATTTTCCAGATTCCGGCGAGAATTTCCAGAATCCGACGAAATCCCACCGGTGTTCTTCAGTCTTTAGAGAGAAGGCAGAGGAAAGAAGGAAGAAGAGAGAGAGAGAGGAGGGGCGGTCTGCCGAAAAACAGAGGGTAGTGCCTTTTATACCCTCCCAAAACGACGTCGTTTTGGCTTTAAGTTAATCAGAGGATCCGCGCGTTTTGTCGAAAACCCGACCCGACCCGGGCATCGACCCGCTTTTCTGACCCGCGCGTGCAGCCCCTCCGAGCCGAGCCGAGCCGAGCCGAGCCAAGCCACCAAGCCGCTTCCCCCGAGCCGCTTCAGGTTTTTTTTTTTTTTTTTTTCTTTGTTTATTTGTTTATTTTATTTTTTTATTTATTAGATTAGGTTTATGTAATATTCTTTTTATTTATTTTCTTTAAATAAAAATAAAAATTTTCAAAAAAAAATATTTTTAGGGAAAAGTTGAAAGTATCAATTTTCCTTAGAAATAAATTTCCAAAAAATATTTTTGGGGAAAAGTTGAAAGTATCAATTTTCCTTGAAAATTAAAATTTTCAAAAAAAATATTTTTAGGGAAAAGTTGAGAGTATCAATTTTCCTTAAAAATAAATTCCAAAAAAACATTTTTGGGGAAAAGTTGAAAGTATCAATTTTCCTTAAAAACAAAATTTCAAAAAAAAAATATTTTTAGGGAAAAGTTGAAAGTACCAATTTTCCTTGAAAATCAAAATTTCCAAAAAATATTTTTGGGGAAAAGTCGAAAGTATCAATTTTCCTTAAAAATAAATTTCAAAAAAGGGTTTTTGAGGAAAAGTTGAAAGTATCAATTTTCCTTGAAAATCCAAATTTCCAAAAAATATTTTTAGGGAAAAGTTGAAAGTATCAATTTTCCTTGGAAATAAATTTTCAAAAAAAATATTTTTGGGGAAAAGTTGAAAGTATCAATTTTCCTTAGAAATAAATTTTCAAAAAAAAAAAATAAATTTTTGAGGAAAAGTTGAAAGTATCAATTTTCCTCGAAATTAAAATTTCAAGAAAATATTTTTGGGGAAAAGTTGAAAGTATCAATTTTCCCTTAACAAAAAAAAATCCTTCCTTTCTATCTTAATTTTGATTTTGTTTTTTTTCTTTAAATAATCCGACGACGGAGCCTCTGTAAGTGAAACAGTAGTTTTCTTGCATACTCCTGAGGTGAGGGAATTTTCTCAATTTTCTGCTAAAAGTATTAGAGTCAATTGAGAATAATTTCCAATAACTAATTACTTGGTAAAATTTTAAAGCTTTTGGATAACACAAATTTAAGCTGGTACCATCTTTTGATGGGCGTTGTGAGGGTGCTATAACCTTCCTCACACGTAACCGAACTCCCGAACCCTGTTCTGGTTAGTAGACCTGAACCTATTCTTTTAGGGACCCTTAAGCTTAGGTGTTCCCTGAAAGGACAGATTCCTTAGGTGGCCAATCACACCTAGATAAAAAAGATTGGTGGCGACTCCCAAAAGTCAATGTCTAGCGATAGATCCCCGGATCTAGACGTTATGACAGCTTGGCGACTCCACTGGGGACTTTGAGAGTCAGGCCAGTAAATAATTTGTGTTATCCAAAAGCCAAATGAAATTGAACCTTGTTGTATATATGTGTTGTTATTCATTCATGTTTATTTACTTTGCTAATTATGTCATTCATGTGCATGTGCATAACATGAGCTCTACACCCGAGCTCCGTCCCTCTTGGAGGGAGTAAAGTACCTATTGCTTTCGTGAGGTCTAATGCCTCCGCAGTGGCTAGCGAAATACTCCCACTCAAATTGAACCTTTTCCGCTTGTAGCCTGTAATGGGTGAGGATTAGGGTGCCTTACTAGTCTGTTATGGACAAGGATGTAAGGAACAATTTGAGGACCTTTA